CTTCCTAACAAAATCAACAATAATAATAAAGTCCTATATGATTGTATACAATTCAAAATTTATAACTTCGACGCTAGGTTTAACATCGAAGTGAAATGAAAAACCTCTGCAAAACCCTTTACGTGGCTACATTCTTACATTGTAGGAACAGTCCAATTCTCACTAAAAATGCATTTACTAGCATTATTCTATGTTAGCTTAACAATTATGGATGAACAATAAATTAAAACAAAATACGAAAACCTATGTATCGAAAACCAAGAGCAAATCTCTCAAGCTATTCCTTAGGGCCTCCAGCTAGGGTAAATTCAAACTAGTATACCAACAAAACCAACATTCAAAGCTAAAAATATAGATAAATCCATAAGCCATTTAATTCAATCAAATACCCAAAACAAATCATAAGTTCAAATCAAACTACCAACACATTCAAACAGCTGATCAAAAACCAACAACTTCAAAAAAAAAAGTAAAATTGGGCTAAAAGAATGAAATTGACTTACCCAAACTGACTCTATTAACATGATGAGACTGTCCAACAGAGCCATCTTTAGCTGAATCCTTCTTTCCCGGTTCTTTAATGGCGCCCCACCATTATTCTCTTCCTTGGTGATGATCAAAACAAGGAAAACACCCACACCCATAATCGAAATCCAAGAAGGAAACCTAGATTTAAAAACCAAGATTTAACACAATTCTTCAAGAATTACTCCAAATCATCCTCGCTTTCACAACTTCACAAAATCACTAATTTTCCCTTTCAAAAAATCCAAACTTTACCAAGTGTTTCCCCCTTGAAATCCTCTCCTTTCTTAAGCTTCACTTTCTATGATCTCAAGTGCACGTCGAACACAAAGATCGTGTCCGGAGTGGCAGATCGACAAGTAGAAGAACAAAAGAAAATGCTTCTGTTGTGTAAGAACTAAGGAGAAGAGACGGTATTCGATCCAAAAAAAAAAACAGAGACGGTAAAGAAAAGAAAATATATATATACATATATATATCCACTAATTACTTATCCGAGGATTAAAAATAAAATAATTAATTGATGAATATATTTGAATAATTATAAAATATATTCGAAATTAAAAAAAATAAGATAATTAATTATCCACTAATTTTATTAGTGGCTAGTCGAGATATTTATTTATAAATAAATCTGAAAACTTTATAGAATTTTAACATATAAAAGAATTAAAGCGTAGGATCATATTTATATGATTTAAAAAATAATTTGTCAACTCAAACTCCCAAAATATGTGTAAAAATATAAAAATTATTAGTTATAAATAAAATTTTAAGTAAAAATATAACAGAAGATTTATTAATTTAAAATTTATTAGTTATTTATATATAATTATTTTATAACATTTAATAAATTTAATAATTATTTTACAATTTTTTAAAAATTAATAATTAAAACAATCATTTCAACATGGCTCTTAATATTCTTTTATCTTAGTTGTATCATAGGAAAATAAATATATAAGTTTCATTTAATTTTTCTAAATATCTATAAAATGATTAATGAAAATAACATACATACAAATGAAAATAACGTCCTAAATAAAAGCATTTTCGCAATTTCTTCTAATTTTCCATTATTATACTAAACAAATTATTTCCGTTTCATTTTACCATACTTCCAACTTTCTGCTGGAAACATTACAGTAAAAAATAATTCACATATAACATAATGAATTATGTACTCAACAATGTCAAATCATGTCCATTTTCACAACATGATTATGAATCTACGCCCATACGTATGACGTTTCCTTGAGAGTTTGTTCATAAATTATTTTCTTCACATCCACCACTAATAAAATGAGGGGTGGGGGGAAACAAGAAGGCATTCAAGTTCCTCTCTAGGCTGAATCCGGAACTCGTTCCGGTATTGAACTTAAAAATCTGGGAATGATGGTGGTGAACATTGCAGTTGTTGTCGAGGGAAGAATGCTGAAGATCCTATATGTTTGTTTCCGCCATAAACAAATGCAATGGACTCGGAAAACCGGATGAGTTTGACTCGATTCTCCCCTATGTAAATGCGGGTTCTTCATGGTTATTCAATAGCATGGTCTACAGGGTTTTGCTTAAGTTTTTACGGTTTGATCACCGGATTATTTGAGATGAAAGAAATAGCCCTATGGAAGTTACAAGAAAATAGATAATGATGAAACCATGACCTCGAAAAAAAAACCAGGATTGAGGTGGTTGCTCCTTTCTCTTAGCTTGAAGCGTGTGGCTCACTGTCTTCATCGCTGCCAACGCCAGTAGAAGGGGCAGAACTCCAACTGGACTGTTGTGTGCTTGAATGAGGAACATGTACACCTTTGGAGTAAACCTGACCAACCGATTCACTTAAAGTGCTCGCCGATGATGACATTATGGCTGGAGCAGAGTCCTTGCTAGACCCTGAAAGAACTTCGGGTCGTAAATTCGAAGATGAGGATGAAGGAGCTAGAGTGCCTATTGCGGATCCAACAGGATAGGGGGCCACGGGCATATCAGCAAGAGAAGACGCAGATGGACTGTAACTTAACATTCCCATAGGATGGTCGAACCTGCAAGCCGCTCCGAACTTGCACACCCCACGTTGCGAGTAGTGAGTGCAAGGTGGTGCACCCTGATAGAAAACACACAAAATGAGTAGACGAACAATGGCTTAAGAGGAAACAACTCAGTATATGTCACACAGCTAATGTACTGAAAAGAAACCATAGAATAAAAACATAATCAGAAATTCATGTAACGAGAAGATAGCATGTCCGAATGTTAACTAGCCCGGTTTAAAAAACATCAAAAGAATGAAACCAATAAAGGAAGCTAATACACCAGGACCAGAGCAACAGAAATAAACTGGAACAAGGAACATGATGAACGAACAAATAAATACAACTGTTCAATTAATGATTCCATTGTAGCTTCATCAAACTTTTGCAGTTTTCAGCTACAAATATATGAATTACATTAACATGAATAACCTCAGAAAATCTGGCAAACACATTCCCTTTCTTCAAACTTTGCTCTATCTGCCGTACATATAAAAACAGGTTTTCCTAGAACAAAGTTCAAGTTAAAGACTCCAAGAATTGGCACAAGCTGATGTTCTCCATGCTAGGTACACAACGTATTACAAAATTGAATGGAAACAAATAGTTGGACTGCGTCCCATGAAAGGACACCGAGAATGAGGTTTACTTGCTAAAACTTAAAACATACTAGACAAGTTTCTAGTTCTGTTAATGGGAAAAGACATTAATTTTGACAGATCTTACATGCTTCTTATTCAAAACTGTATGTCTGGTTTCTACAAGTATGCATCGTCACCTTTCCAACAGAGTTTTGGGTTTTCTACAGAAAAAGAAACCCTGACCACAGGGAAAACTCTTACACATTTTACTATGTCTAGTTACAAGTTGGAACATGCAAAAGTAACTCCAATAGATGCCAAAGAAAACAGAAACATAATTGATTGTTGCAAAAGCAATTGAGCAATCAGTCCGGTAGTATGTACTAAATGTAACCAAAATTTAAATCCAATCTTGTACAAAGCATCATAGTATTTCTTGGACAATTTACGAAATGCTTACGGGACGAAGTGGAAGACCGAGAGGGCTGAGGATGACATCAGCTTTTGGTGCAAACACTTCTGGTGGATGATGATATCTACAGGAGGATCCATATTTGCATCGACCAGTCTTCATATAATACTGACATTCTGGTTGTCCAGGTCTCTCTGGAAAGGACTCATCCTCCTGCCCAGGTCTCTCTGGAAAGGACTCATCCTCCTGAATACTACTTGAAGGCCGAAGACCGGATGGTACAAATTGATAAGATCCAGTATAGGCAAGTGCTGAAGGAGATAATGGTGTTGGCCCAAAAGTTGAGCTTGATCTAGCAGTGGGTTGAGTACCAGGATTGACAGGTGCCTGCACCACGCATATTAACAACCAAAAACACAAAAGTTTAATAGTATACTCAATGTTGAGGAAACTAAATAAAGACCTACCAGATACGGATTCCAACTTGGAACACCTGGGGAAAGTAGCAAAGGACCATAGGGGCCTTGCACATAGGAGCCTGGCATCAGGGGAGGCCTGGCCATTACTGCTCCATATTGTTCAGAGGAAGGACCAGATGGTGACTGCACTGTCGAATACACAGTTGGAGCGGGAACTGGTGTAGGTGCAGGTGCACCTTGTGGAGCTGGAGATGGTGCTGGAACCTGCATAGCTGGAGGTGCAGGATGATGGAATTTACATGTTGCGCCAAATTTACATTGTCCAGTCTTCACATAGTAAGGACACTCTTTTTCACCCTGTTCTAAAGACAGATCAATTATTACGACAACTTAACATTACGTATCTAAAGTTCATGTTAATGTCAAGTGATACAAACCGGGCGTAATGGATATCCGAAACAATTCAGTGGCACAGAGCTACCTCCCAGCTTGGGATGATGGTATTTACAGGAAGCACCGAATTTGCATGCTCCCGTCCTCATAAAATACTGCAAATTAGCGAAAACAAAAGCCATAAACAACATAAAACCAAAACTCTATCCTTGAAACAAAAAAGAAGAAGAAGAAGTGACATTAGCTTGCCTTTATCTCCAAGAATTAAGCAACGCGCATTATTGAAACTGTACTATTTAGGCATACATATCTCGAATTTGTCATACATTTAAGAAACAATCAAAACAAGAAGTACCTGACAAACTGGCTGGCCTGCTCTCTCTGGATACTCTCCGACACCGCCTCCTCTTCCAGCTCCCATAACCTACAATCATCATCATCATATTTCTTTCACCAATCAAAACATATGATCATCAAATTTGTACTAAAATTTCGATTCATAATTACACTATTGCAGACACAAAAAAGAAAACTTAGCATCTTAACCCTAAAATTCAAAATTCCATCACTCCAAAGAGCATGATAAAAAAAACATAGAATAACTCATCAAATAATATGTATTACCCCAGCACGTTCACGTGGATGATTGAACCGACAATTAGAACCATAGCCACAAAACCCAGTCCTCAAATAGTAAATACAATCAGCTTCGTCGGGTCGTTTGGGGTATGATTCCGACCCTCCCTCTAATACCAACTGCCAAACCGGCTCTACATCTCAAACGAAAACCCCATATCAGATCGTACATTATAAAATAAATAAATAAATAAACTAATCCAAAAAAAACCCCAATCCGTAAACGAAAATTACAAGAGTACTCTTTACCTTCGAGTCCCGTTTCGGATCCCGGAGCAGTCCATTCCGGTTGGGGATCGGACTCTGGGTCCCGCTCCATTAAACGTACGAACAACAACCACAAACAACCTTGTCTGTAATCCGATCAAATGGCTGTGTATGTCTTATTTCCTATATAGAAAACGGAAAAACAGAGAAAATGACCAAAAAATAAAATAAAAAATCAGAAGCTTCCTAAATCCCTCTCTCCTTTCTTACACAAACAATAAAATAAAAACATTTTTGGCTGCTGTTTCTGGAGTGGGTGTTTGTCTAAATTTTCTTTCACTTTCTCTCTCAGCTTCAGTTTTTCCTAGTAATTTGCCGTTTGTTTGATCTTTTTCTCTCCTTTTTTTTGGGTGTTTTTTTATGCGTCGGTTGTTTATATACGCGCCAAATAGAGGAGGAAGAAAATAATGAAACAAAATTGAAGTTAATATTATTTTAAGGGTTAATTCCACATAATGTCCCCAAAATAAGGTTTAAATTTTAAAATGATCCAAAATTTTAAAATATTTTAATTAAGTACTGAAGGTATAATTGCCGTATTTATGCCAATCAAATCTTTTCATTTGTTAAATTTTAATTTAAATATTAAATATCAGTTTAGATTCGATATAAACTCGTAAAACATCTTTTAAATTCAAATCAAAATTTAAATATATATATATATATTCATTATAAAAATAATTTGCATAATGCGTGCTAATAAAATAAATAATATCGCAAATAAAATTCTGACAATTATTTTCTGACTACATTAGATTAGATGTAAGCTATCAATGAGAATTATATTATTTTAATATTTAAAGATTAATTAAATTTAAACAATAATCCAAGGATGTATGATAAAATTAACTTTATTTTCATTTATTTTATATTCATGAAAGTATTCTTTGAGTGACAAACATGTCCTCGTTTTCATGGGGATTTCATTGCCGGGAGGAGGTTAAAACAGTAATAAAATAATAATCGGAGTTAGTTGAATTAATTAATGGGGGAAAGTTGGTTTGATTGTTTGGTGTAGCGTGGCAAACAAATAAAATTAAATAAAAACGTGGCAAAAAAGGAGAGGCTTTACATTACATCTTCCTTAAATTAATGAAAAAATTAAAATAAAGTATATCAATATATCACATACTTGACACGTGGGTTTTGATGATGAAAGATAGAATCTTCTAATTCGATTAAACAAATATATTAGCTAATTAACTTTTTAATATATATTAGTTAATTAACTTGAATTAAGAGAAATAAAAATTGAAAGTTAAAACTGTGACAAAAATTAAATGAACTAATAAAGTTCAGGATTATTTACCATTTTAGCTGATAATTAAAATCCAGTATAACATATGATACAATATCTAATTATACAAATACTTTAAATTTATACATCACAAATTCTTAATATAAAAATATTTTAAACATAATTAGAAATTTATAACATTCAAAGTTTACTTTTGAAGAACCAAAGCCACTCGTCAAACATCTTATCCTTTGTTGGTGGCTGAATTTCGATGCCTTTGTTTCCGGATTTTTTTTAAAACATTTTCTATCATTAAAATTATTAAATAGTTTACTTAATAACGTTGAATATTATATGATTATGTGCCATGAACACTACATAAATATAACAATGTGTGACACAAATGTGTGCTTTAAGAAAAATGAAGAGCCCGAACGATATATAGTCTCTCGGCTGAGAGAAATCGATGTTCAGAACTCTATACAAATGATCAAAGAGGACTCGAACAAAAGCAAACATCATATTTCTGGAACCAATCTCTGTCAAACTATCCATCAGGATAGAAGCTACAACTGATGCTAAAATTGCGATAAGTTTCAGCAATTTGAACATTAAATCCAAAAACCGAAACAAAGCAGAATAGAGGCTACAGACGATGCTAAAATTTGAACCCCAAACTTGTTGGATGCCACCTCTGGGTGATCGCAACCGAGTTAAACTCGGGGTTCAGAATCATGACTTCAGAAAATGAAATGAGACCAAAACAAGGACACTAATAAGGCAGTATGAACCACAACAAAGTTGGCAAATGAAACTCATTACACGACTGCATGTGCTAAAATTCGAGCTCTAACCTTGACCTAAGGTCCAGATTCAGCTTCATAACTCATTATTTGATTGCATATGCTAAAATTCAAGCTCTAAACAAGACCGTTTCTACACAGCAAAACAAAGACACTGATGATATGGTTGCAAATAGAAAATGGAACTCATTACACCAATAAAGTTAAGGAAAACATGGTTGGTTCCATAGACAAATTCCAACTAAAGCAAGTTTCAGAGTAAAAGAATGAAACCGAGAAACATAACAACGAAAACCTTAATCTTAATGAACCGAAACTACTTCTTTTGTCTTAATGTGCCATTTGCACACCCTACAAAATAGCGATGCTGCAGTCTATAGTCTACACTAATTCACTTCTCATTTTTTCAGAAACATCAAATTTTTCTCTGTATAGCTTCAATAGCTTGGGTTCTGTGCTTATGAAATGGTTAACATACCTCCTAATGAACTCCTTTTCTGATGTATCCAACATCATAGACAATTTGATGTTGTTAACTAAACCTCTTGACAGCAATTCTTGAGCAAACAAAGCCCTTGGGATAATCCTCTTCTCCAAGCTCCGAGAAAAAATACTGGATTGTTTGGCAACGAGAGTCGAATTGTAGCCCATTTTGTTCACAAGAAAATCCATTATAGCCATGATCTTGTCCTCCGAAGCCAACATACAAGACGGATGCCTTAGAAAAGCTTCATGAATCTCTTGGTCAGACAAACCCCATCTCCTAAAAACATCAACCTTCTTCTCCAGTGTGGATTTGGTCATTGCTTTCAAGGCCAAAGCTGTCTTGAGAAACTTATTCGTCGATGAATTGAACCCCATTCTTTTGACTTCCTCAACAATCTCCTTAACCGATCCGGATTAAACATGAATGTTCTAGGCTTATTGATAAGATACACATGGATACTCGACTCCGGGACTCCATTTTCTCTCAAAATATCCATATTCGGGAACAAATACGACTCAAAATCGCACACGAGAATGCCAGGATACCGTTTTATAGCTTTAATAGTCGTATTATCTGATTGAAACAAGTCCCTCAGGAAAATAAACGAAGGGATAATTTTATTTTCTAAACTAATTCTCAGCAGTTTGGGATAGATGCTCAACATCTTAGCAAGCTCGGCCCTCGAAAAACCGACCGAGTAAAGAAACTGTAATTTGGGCAAAAGGGTTTTCTCAGTATTGGAAACAAGCAAATTTAGCTGTCTTTTGACGAGATTTACGATTTGGGATTCGGAAAACCCGTGATTTTCCAGGAAAGCGATCAAAGAATCAGGCTTTTCAGGGGTTTCAAAATGAACATAATTTGAAGCCCTTGAAGCCGATTCTGGGGAGAACCCAAATTTTTTAATGAGGTATGAAACTGTAAATTAATGTTCACTTGAGCTAAGATTGCAGAAGAATCTAAGACTAGGTAATGATTTAATTATTGAAAGTTCATGTTGAAGAGAGTTTAAAAGATTGAAACTTTGAGAGGCTGCAATAGTTTGCCTCCCAAGGAGGAAACGAGTTCTAAAGATGAAATAAAACATGTCACTCACTTACCTCTTGATTTGACCCCAAAGATAAGAATCTGGTTTTCCCGGCGGAGAATGAGAGAGCTGAAACTCAGTGCCGGCGCCGAGATTCCTCCAAAAACCTCGAATTTTCTATAGAGGCATCGAGCTTTGTTTGGGCTGTTCAGCGTCAAAGGCTTCAAGCCCAACTTGTTATATATAATTTTTGACTAAAAATGAGAGCGGATATAAATTTTAAAAGTACTCAATTATATTCATTAAAGTATTTTTTAAGTAACAAATATGTACTCGTTTTTTAATGCAGATTTCATTGTCGGGAGAAGTTTAAAACAGTCATAAAAAATAATTATCGGAATTAATTTAATTAATCAACGGTGGGAAGTTTGGTTAACATAGAAAAATAATAAAAGTTTATATAATAAAAATAAATTCTATCTTAATTGTTATATATATAATATTTTAAAGATTCAAATATTTTTTGGATGATGCTCAAATTTTAGAACCAAAGCTTTGCATGCCGCACACCATCTTAACCTTTGTTTAGGTGGCTAGATTTTGATGCTTTGCCTATCGATTTTTTGAAGTATAGGACATAAATGCGTGCTTCGAGAAAAATGAAGAGTTGGAACGATATAACCTCTCACCTTTCGATACAGATGATCAAAGAGGACTCGAACAAAAGCAACATCAAATTTCTGGAACCACTCTCTTTCAAACTATCCATCAGAGTAGAGGATACAACCGAAGCAAAGATTGTGATAAGTTCCAGCACTTAAACATTAAATCTGAAAACTTAAACAAAGAAGAATAGAGGCTACGGCCGATGTTAAAATTCGAACCCTAAACTTGTTGGATGCCACCTCTTAAGGATGATCGTAACCGGGGTTCAGAATCATGACTTTAGAAACTGATACTAGACCAAAACAAACTAATAAAGCAGCAGGATGAATTCATTTCACACTTGCATTTAGAAAAAAACAATCTTAACAAAGTTGGCAAATGAAACTCCTAACGCGACTGCATACGCTAAAATTCGAGCTCAACTTGCTCAATAACTTTATGAAGCAATGGACTTGACTCTTAAGGTCCGGGGTTCAGCTTCACAACTCTTAAAAAAGTGAAAAACCAGACCTTTTATACACAGCAAAAACAAAGACAATAGTAAGGTTGCAAATGCAAAATGAACTCATTAGTCATTAAACCAAACAGTTAGGAGTAAATGGTTGGTTCCATAGACAAATTCCACCTAAAACAAGTTTGAAGTAAAAGATTGAAACCAGGAAACATGACATCGAAAGCCTTAATCTTCACGTACCGAAACTATTTCTCTGTCTTAATGTGCCATTTGCACACCTTACAAGATAGGGATGCTGCAGTCTATGCTAATTCACTTCGCATTTTTTTCAGAAATGTTAAATTTTTCTCTGTATAGCTTCAAGAGCTTGGGTTCTGTGTTTATGAAGCGGTTAACATACCTCCTAAGGAACTCCTTCTCTGATGAATCGAACACCATAGACAATTTGACGTTGTCAACTAAACCTCGTGACAGCAATTCTCGAACAAACAAAGCCCTTGGGACAATCCTCCTCTCTAAACTCCGAGAAAAGATACTGGATTGTTTGGCAACGAGAGTCGAACTGTAGCCCATTTTGTTCACAAGAAAATCCATTATAGCCATGATCTTGTCCTCCGAAACCAGCATACATGATGGATACCTTCGAAAAGCTTCATGAATCTCTTGGTCTGATAAAC